TGGTCGACAATAGCGGCAACTCTTGCGTACAGGACTTACAAGAGTTGGACACACGGCTGGACAGAGATCTACTCATACGACTATATCGGGGTAATTGTGCCGACAGTCCTCTTGTTGTCCACTCTTTTGCCCAAACTTTTGTTAACGACTTTTTTGGGTAACAATTTTTGGCAATCAGTTAATACAGTTATGTGTCAATGGATTCCGTAATTTAGTTATTAGTTATCATATGATTTGATAGCAGTGTTCACTATAACAGGGGTTATTAAGAGGAACAGCTGTTTGCGGTGTCGATGATTATCTGTATATTAATGCAATTTTTATTTGACATGAATGGCAGGAATGGTAAAACTGGATCAAATCGATACAGTTTTATACAACGCCCAAAGACAGGGCCGGATCTCCTTCTACATCACGAGCCACGGCGAAGAGGCCACTCATTTCGGACCGGCGGCCGCTCTCGAGGCCGACGATATGGTCTTTTGCCAGTATAGAGAGGCCGGTATGTGTCCAATGAGATGACTATTTTTGGTAGTTTTAGTTATCATTAATTTGATTCGATATGCAATTAAAGGTGTACTGATTTGGCGCGGGTTTACCATTGATAATATGCTGAACCAGTGTTTTGGCAATCGTAAAGATTTGGGAAAAGGCCGCCAAATGCCCATTCATTACGGCAGCCGTGACTTGAATTGCGTGACCATTAAGTCGACGCTGACGTCGGAAATGGTGCACAGCGTTGGGTCGGCGTATGCGCTGAAACGGCAACAGAAGGGCCGTTGCGTTCTCTCCTACTTCGGCGACGGCGCCGCCTCTGAGGGCGACGCTCACGCGGCCCTCAACTTCGCCGCCACTCTCGACACGCCTATCATTTTCTACTGGTATTTATTCGCTCACTTTGACCATTGAGTCAAAGTCATAAACCTAATTATTGTTGTCTTTCATCACTCATTAGCCGTAACAATGGTTACGCCATATCGACGCCAACCACTGAGCAATACCGGGGCGACGGTATCGGTACGTGTGGACCCACTCATAGCTCTGGTTATTGTAATGTTTGTTAACTTTTTTTGCGCTGTGTTTAGCGGCGAGAGGACCGGCGCTGGGAATACCCACCATTCGCATCGACGGCAACGACATTGTGGCCAACTTTGTGGCCGTGGCTGAGGGCCGACGGATCAGTATCGAAGAGAACCGTCCGGTTCTAATAGAGGCCATGACTTATCGGGTGTCCCATCACTCGACGTCCGACGACTCCAGTGTTTACCGCAGTGTCGATGAAGTGAAGAAATGGCAGAAAAACAATCATCCGATCAATCGATTGCGTAAACTCTTGGAGAAGAGGGACTGGTTTTCGGAGACCGAAGAGGATCAGTACAAACAGGAGGTCCGCAAAGAGGTGTTGGCGGCTGTGGTTCGGGCGGAGAAAGTGCTTAAACCCAGCCTTAAGACTATGTTCACCGACGTGTACGAGGAATTGCCCGACCATTTGGCCGAACAGTACCGCGATTTGGCCGCACACGTGACCGCCTATAAAGAGCACTACCCGATGAACATGTTTGAAGACAGCGC